TTGTCTTTGCATTTAGCGACAACCACGTATAACGCGCCAATATCATGGGCATGCGCTTCAGTGAGCGCTTTGGCTCGTGCGTCTTGCCAGCCTTTGCTGTGCTCCGGGTGCATGTTCTTTGGTAGTGGGAACCCCCATCGGTCGGCAGAGCGCCTTTTCCGAAAGGGCGTGGTGTCTCTTCGGTTTGTGGTCAGTAGTGTCAATGCCTTGGCCTAGTTTGGCCAGGATCCTTCAACTCGTTCGTGTGGTTTGAAATCTCTCGCGCTGAGATTTTCTTTGCGCTTCTGTGATTTCTTCGAGGGTGTTGTGCACCTCAGATCGAGCAACGTGGCTGTGCGCGTGCAGTTGAATAAGTCGAGTGCAGCCTTGTATGTCCTTCTGATGGCCGCATTGATTTGGTCGCATTCCTATGCTTTCCAGTAGTGCAACACACCTACGTAAGCATCGTGGCTGATGGAGAAGGATTGCACGGGACGTGGTAGGCTGGCCTTCTTCATCCCTCTGTGCCAAGTCGCAGCTCGCTTAATGGGTAGCATGGCGATACCCATCTTGGTGATGATCTTGTCGACGGTGACGCCATTGCTCCTGCTGGCTTCGAGCACCATGTCTAGGACAAGGAGCTCCAAGACTTTCGGAATGATGATGCTGTTTCTAGTTCAGAGCACGATCTCCTCCGACACTTCTTCAGTGGCTTTCTTCTTGTATCGCCCGGGTGGTGGGACAATCAGGAGTTCAAACTTTTGTGGCGAGCATCTAAGACCGGTGCCGCCCAGCTGATCTTCTATTGTGTTCGCTGCTTCTTGTAGCGTTTCTTTGTTGTACCCGTCACTGCCGCCGGCAACCCATAGCGTGATGTCGTCAACATAGATCGTGTAATGGACGTGTGAGCCTCGCGCGTTTAGTCGTTCCGCAGCTCTGATCCTAACTAGATCGGAGAGCAGTGGCAATATCACGGAGCCCTGCGGCGTGCTGACGCTTCCGATGAATTTTTTTTTCTAGTTGTAGTTTATTTCCTTGTAATTTTACCGTTCGATTGGACAGAAAGTCTCTTATGTAGTTGTAGGATTTTCGTCCAAGTCCTAGCCGCGAGGCCTGCGATGGGATTGCCGAGCGGCGTACTTAGTCGGAAGTGCTCTGCAGGTCTAGGCTGACAACTACTCTAGTGTTGTAAGTGGGAGCTGATACTTCCACGATTTCATGTTGGAGTTGTATCATAGTGTCTGAGGTACTGAGCTTCTCTCGAAAGCTGATCATTTCATCCGAGTAGAAGCCCTTGTCTTCGTGATAGTGGTTACACTTGTAACGCATGATGTGTTCCATCACTTTTCCGACGCAGGACGTCAGGGAGATGGGCCGTAGATTTTACATGTTGGGTGGCTTGCCGGGCTTTGGTATGAGTACCATGCGAGCCGTCTTCCCGTGTTTCGGTAGTTTGCCTTCGCTCTAGCAATGGTTGAAGTATCTTGTGACTGATTCGATCGTTCTATAGTTGAGGTTATGCGGCGTCCGGTTGTGAAGCTGGTCTGGTCATGCCGCCAACTTACAGTTGAGCTCTTGTAGTACCACTTGGACTTCCCATTCTTCAATCTCTCGATCCATTTCTGGGTTGTGCGGTCCTTCATGGTCGGTATCGAACTCGGTGGCTGCTGTACGGAGGTACTTGGCATTGATGTGCTTGCTGGCTTCCTCTTCGCCTAGTTTTTTGACGGCAGTGTAGACCTGTGGCGAAACGGGTTGGCGCCGCTTCTGCGCCTGTGCGTCGCAGCAATGCCTCCAAACACGGGCGCCGGCGATATGAACACTCTCGCCCGAAAGAAGCAAGAAAACTGTGTGTGTGCCCTAATTCAGGGGCAGTCGTCGTAGAACCTTCTGTGCGGAAACAATAAAGTTATGTTATCCAACATCTGGTGACCCGAAAAACGAACGTACCGCACCGCCATGGCTGACGAGGAAACCCTTGCTGCCCTTCAACAACAAGTACAACTGCAACAACAACTGCAGGCCCAGCAGCAAGTGATCCAGAACCAAAAGCAGCAGCTCCGGGAACAGCAGCAGCGCAATGAAAAGGAAGCACTCTCACCCGACGATCATGCACCACCCCAGTTGGGTCACGCCCCTCAAAACTTCGCTCCAGTGGTCCCTGCCAACTCGGGCACCTCGATTGCTGCGGCCACCACCAACACGGACGTTTGTCTCGTCGCCGTCAAACTTCCGCCGTTTTGGGCAGAGGCACCTGACGTGTGGTTCGCTCAAGTCGAGGCGCAGTTTTCCACGGCACGCACCACCCAGGACCGGACGCGCTATGACTACGTCGTCGCCCATCTAGACTCTCGCTATGCGGCTGAGGTTCGCGATATACTTGCGAATCCCCCGGCTTATGACTGTTACCTACACCTTAAGAGGGAACTGATCCGCCGGCTTTTATCTTCACAAGACTAGAAGGTGCGTCACATACTCCAGCACGAAGAACTCGGTGACTGCAAGCGATCGCAGCTCCTGCGTTACATTCGTGACCTCTTGGGCAGAACCCCAGTCGACGACTCTCTCCTACGTACCATCTGGCTTCAGCATCTACCCTCACATGCGCAGGCCATCCTCTAGGTGAAGCCGAATCTGCCGCTGGACCAGCTCTCTCACATCGCTGATCAAGTCGTCGAGATTTTGTTGCCAGCATCGCCTCTCACCATCAACGCCGTTGATACCCGGCTGTCCAGCAGCGAGCTCGCGCGCCCTGTCGACGAAATCACCGTCAGCTGGACTCAATTCAAAGGCGCTTGCATCAAATCCCGAAGATGCGTCCACAAAAACGCCCCCAAAGCCAAGACAACAACGCCGCTTCATCGCACGAAAATGATAACGGCTCCTGCTCTACCATCGCTGTTTTGGGGACAAAGCCCGGAAATGTCAACCACCTTGCTCAGCTGGATGTGAGGGAAACTTTAACGGCAGCCCGTAGAGACGGGCGCGAGCTGCCAACTTAGAGGTCGTCGCATATTCGTCCCCGACCAAGTCACAAAGCGGTGCTTCCTCGTCGACTGTAGCTCCGACATCGGTTGCTTTCCCCGAACCTTCCTGCGTGACAAGCGTCCTTGCACGTCCTTTCAGCTCACCGTGGCGAACCATTCGACTATCAAGACCTGCGGCTCGCTCGGCCTTAACATAAACTTAAATACCTGCGGCGATATTTTCCATGGAATTTCGTCATCGCCGACTTCGCAGAGCCGATCATTGGCTCCGACTTCTTGGCGTACTACAATCTCCTACCTGACTGCCGATATGACCGACTTATCGACGCTACAACAGGCCCCTTCGTGCCGGGCCGACGTGTGACCACCCAACAGCCTAACGTCAAGGCACTCACCATTGGGAACCAGTCGTCATACCACGACACCCTCGCAGAATTTTCCCGACCTGACTCAACCTAGTGGGCGTCCGCGAGAGGTGTGCCACTCAACCGTACGCTACATTCGTACTACTTCCGGCCCCCCGGACTCACGCCGCGCCTGTTGGCTAGCCCCGGACCGCCTACGAATCGCACAGGCTGAATTCGAAGCCATGCTCTGCGATGGTACTGCCCACCGCTCGGAGGGACGTTACGCCTCACCGCTTCATCTGGTACCAAAGAAGACCAATGGCTGGCGCCCCTGCGGAGATTATCATGCCCTCAATGCCCGCGCCGTCTCCGACAGGTACCCCGTCCATCATATACAGGACATTGCACGCCGCTTCTCAGTGGTGGACCTCGTAAAGGCCTACACACAAAATCCTGTAAACCCAGATGACGTCCCAAAGCCCTCAATTATCACGCCTTTCTGTCTCTTCGAATTCCCTTTCATGAGTTCTGGTCTCCGCAACGCGAAGCAAACCTTTCAACGCTTCATCGACGACGTCGCCCGCGGCCTGGACTTCTGTTTCGACCACCTAGACGACCTCTTGATCTTCTCCCGCAAGGAAACGGAACATCGCCAACACCTTCGTCAACTGCTCCAGCGTCTCGACGAACACGGCTTACTCATAAACGTTCAGAAGAGCACGCTCGGCGCCCCCGTCGTCACGTTTCTTGGCCATAAAATCTCCTCAGAAGGAACTAGACCCTTGCCTGACCGCATTATGGCCCTGCGAAATTACCCGCTGCCTGCCACTGCGAAAGACTTCCGCTGTTTTCTTGGCATGTTCAACTTTTACAGGCGCTTCGTGCCTAAATCGGCCACGTATCAGGCCCCTCTCTATGATGTTTTGGCCGGCCAACGTGGCAACCATACTGTCACTTAGACCCCAGCGTTAACGCAAGCGTTCGAAGACTGCAAAACTGCCCTCTGCAACGCTACACTGCTCTCCCATCTTAAGCCAGAGGCGCCCCTGGGTCTTTTCACAGACGCCTCTAGCACCGCCGTTGGAGCCTCTCTCATGCAGCGTGTGGGAAACAACTGGTGCCCCTTGGCGTTATTCTCGAAGAAACTCTCTTCCCCGAAGCTGCCCCCACCCTCCGATAGCATCGGTGATGCAACCTCGCCCCCTGCGGAGACGACCTGGCCAGCCTACTACAGAGAGCTCCTTGCCATCTACGAAGCAGTCCAACACATTCGCCACATCCTCGAGGCATAGCACTGCACCATATACACCGACCATAAACCTATCACTTACGCCTTCTCCCAACGCCGCGAAATACTTCCACCGGTCCAGTAGAACCAGCTGTCCTTCATCGCTCAATTCACCACAGATATCCGCCACATCAGCGGAAAGGAAAACGTGGTTGCCGACGCACTCTCTTGCGTCTTGGCTGTCGAGCAACCAACCGTTAAACCGACGCCCTCGCCGAAGCTCAGAAAATGGACACTGAACTCCACCAGCTCCTCGAGAATGGCTCTTTCCTTCAACTTCAAAAAGTTACCATCCCTAGGTCAAAGGACGCTCTCTACTGAGACATATCAACAGGACGAGTGACACCATACGTCCCTTTTTTGCACCGCCAGACTCTTCAATCAGTTACACAAACTCAGTCATCCCGGCACCTGAGCCTCTACACGCCTCGTGACTAACCGGTACACGTGGCCCTCAATGCAACGGGACTGCCGCGCCTGGGCACACACATGCATTCCATGCCAGCGCGCCAAAATCACCGGGCACAACACGTCACCACTCGGAGAATTCCCCCTCCCGACGGAACGTTCGAGCACGTCCACATTGACATTATTATTGGCCCCCTCCCATCAGCCGGCCCTTACCGCAATTGCCTCACCGCCATCGATCGTTACACTCGTTGACCCGAGGTGTGGCTGCTCGAAAGGATCACCGCTGAAGACGTCGCATCAGCCTTCTTCTCCGGCTGGGTTTCACGCTTCGGCATTCCTCGTCGAGTCACCATCGATCAAGGAAGGCGATTCGAATCTCAACTCTTCGGGCTCCTTGGACTCTCCACCGGGTTCGAGCGTTCACGGTCAACTAGCTACCACCCTTGCGCCAACAGGATGATTAAACGGTTTCACCGGCATTTCAAGGCAGCCATGATGTGCCAGCCTCACTCAACCTGGCTCGAAGCTCTCCCCGCCGTCGCTCTAGGTCTGCGCGCAATGTTCAAGTCAGACATTCAAGCCACGCCCACGGAACTCGTCCATGGGGAGCCGCTTCGCCTACCTGGAGAACTCCTCTCCCCTCCGACCTCTGATGTAACCAGCTCGGACCCTGCAGACTTCATCGCTAGACTCCATCGCACAATGGGCGCGCTGTGCGCCTCACCAGCGGCTCGTCACACCAAGCCGACCCCATTCGTGTTTAAGGACCTGGCAACATGCTCGCATACCTTCCTCCGCGACGACATCGTAGTGCGCTTTTCCAGCCGCCTTACTCGGGGCCTTACAAAGTCATCTGTCGTTACGACAAAACATTCAGCCGGCAAATCAGTGGAAAGGATGTACGCGTTTCCATCGACCGCCTAAAGCCATCATACATCCTTTCCCAGGAGCCTACCAACCCCCTCACGCCTCCCGTAATTCGCCGACAACAGCACGCAACGCCTAGGCTCGCACCCTACACAACCCGCCTTGGACGCCAGGGGTGGGTCCTCAAGCGCCTTCAACCCTGACGGCTCTTATCTGCGTGGGGGGGGGGGGCGAAACGGGTCGGCGCCGCTGATGCGCCTGCGTGTCGCGGCGATGCCTCCAAACACGGGCGCCGGCGATAGGAACACTCTCGCCCAAAAGAAGCAAAAAAACTGTGTGTGTGCCCCGATTCAGGGGCAGTCATTGTAGAACCTTCAGTGCGGAAACATTAAAGTTAGCTTATCCCACAGACAGCTTGGGCAAGCCTGTGCTGCTGGTGGCTTTTCGGGAATTTATCGTCGAGGAGATTTCTCAAGAGCTTCCAAGTCTGTTCTTTGTGTAGTTGTTCATCCGCAGCGCTGCACGTTGCGTTTCATTTCTGCGTGCATAATTCTCTGCTGTATTTTTCAATGGGGTGACCCAGCACAGTGACTCGTTTTCGTAGCCGTCAATTGTGCCGTTGCTTTTTCCATCTTCTTTGCCGAGATTGGCGAGCCTCGATATGTGAGCCAGCTTGCTGTTGATTTGCGGTACTTCCTCCTCTGCGTCCAGCTCGGCGTGACCGAGTCGGCCAGTTTCATTACGCGTTCCATCCATTTCTCGATGTATTCAATGTCGTTAATGAGCGACGCAACCCTCGCCTTCATCGAGGGTTGCACGGAAATGCGTCCAGTCTGTGAGCTTGTGCTTGAATTTCTTTTGGTTGTTTTGTATCGTTGGGGGTATTATCAGTTCTATATTGTAATGGTCACTGCCCAGGTTGTGGCCAGTGTTGCACCAGGTCACCGTTCCTGCTGCTTTGGCAGAGAGTCGAGCGAAAATGAGGTCCAGGTTGGCGTCCCTCGTAGTGGATGTTCAAATTCTTCTAGGATTGCCCGGATCTGTGTAGAGCACAAAGCGGGCGTTTGAGGCTTCTTCTAGCAGGTTTGATCGTTTTGCCGAGGTGCAGTTGTATCTCAGATCTTTGTGTGGCGCGTTGAGGTCGCCGCACACCACCAACATGCCGTTGGGGTTTGTCATTGTAGTTTTGTGTAGTTGCGCCTTGAATTTCTGCTGCCAGTGCGTGGGGTTGCTGTAGATATTCGCCAATAATATGGGTTCTTGCTTTCTTCTACCTATTGTGGTGCGTAGTGAGTTCCTTTCGCACGAAGGTGTACACCTTCTGTGCGGTTCCGTTGCCATGCTCTCGAGCACTGGGCGGACTCGAGTAGGCTCGGTACCCCAGCAGAGTCGGTGTGTCTTCCATGTGAGTTTCTTGTATCATTATAACGTCCGGTAGTTGCTCCATACTTGCCACGCGCTGTTGCAGCACCGCCCTCCGACACCGGAACTCATTGGCGTCCCAGTGCCAGATTTTTAGTCTTGTGCAGACTGTGGGGTTTATGTTCATGTTTGGGGGACGGGTGCCACGCTGCAAGTGTTGTTCTCTGCATTGGTGGTGCTGTTCTTGTTGAAAATTTGGTTCAATGGTGCCTGCGTCATTGTTATGCCCGTGGTTACCCGGAGCTTGAGTTTGATTGCGCGCTTCTCTAGTACTTCAATTCGTCTTTCATGTCTGTTCAGTCGTGCATTGGTTTTCTCACGTTACCTGTTTGCTGCTCTGTGTTCCTTGAAAAAGGGGCGGGATACTTCCGCCGTATGCTCTTTCGTGTCTTCTACCATCTCATGTTGTGGGGCCATTGTTTGACGTTCCGTTGTGGGCGTCCTCTCTTCTAATATTGCCGTAGCTAGTCGATGATCGGCTACCTGTTGTGTGACGATGTAGGGGTGAGTGACCTCTGTGTTGCCTGTGCAATGTCCATGCTTGTGGTTTCTTTGTGCTGTTGTCCTGCACGCAGTAGTCGTAGAATTTCTGCTTATCCTTGTTTCCGTTTTCTTAGCTGGGCCTTATGGTAGCGGTTCTCGGCTCGTAGGTGTGCGTTGTCTTGCTGTAGAACTCGTATCGTGTCTTCAATTAATGGTGTTCTGCTTTTAGCTGCAGGACATTGACTTTTCTGAGAAGGCGCAATGCATTCAGTCATCGATTTTCTGAAAAAGTATTTGCAGAGGCATTCCTAATATCCGACTGAACTGTTTGTGCACTTGTAGTTACGTTCAATCGCGTAAAAAGAGGTAAAATGCTTTTTCGCAGAACCCATCATAATGCAATGAAACAGTTCAAAACGTGTTATGAAGTTCACGAAGCTTACTCTTGAGTTTGTCGCTTCACGTTTTCACTGCGATAAGTGGGCCCACTTATTTATCAATAAAGCGCGTGCTTGATTTTAGAGATATAAAACTAACACATACACTGCATCGCTACAATAAAGCAATATTGCCGACGTGGTCACAGACAGTCTGTGTTAGTGGTGCTAAGCCGAGCTGGACATGCAATATTAAAAACTGACCTTTCTAACGTAGTTGTTTGCCTAAAGTTGACATTCTGCGGAGCTTCAGAAAATTTTTGAAGTGCAGAAATCTCTGATGAACGATGCCTATTTCTGTTCCACTGAAAACAAAACAATTTATGTGCACAGCTGCAATTGCTACAGCTAATGGCTACCACGTTTTGATGGCCTAAACATCACAGTTGTAATTCTATAGTACACGGGGCAGCACTCGCAACGCTGTGTAGCACAAGCTCATTCACCTTGCGGGTTTTGTTCGCGAGGACAGTGAGTGTTCAACAAACGGTGCTTGTTACATGTGCACCGCGCAGAGGCAAATCACGTGGAGAGATGGCAGCATGATTTAACTTTTCAGGCAATATACCCGTGGGCACGTAGCATTTCAATAGCATAGCACTTCGTTCCAGTAGCGGATCATGTTTCCTTAAGCGTAGAGGTGATTACATGCGCCACAAGATATAGCGATTACAACCACGTAACGATAACATATCCGCAACACCCGGTTACGCGAACGAGAGTTAGTTTGCTGAGATCACACGCCGCGCATTCATACAGCCTAAAAGCGCGAGCACTCTTTTTTTTAGAACAAGGGCTAACACATTTGCTTATATTTATGCTATATAAACAATAAAACTATACTTCTGGCGTAGTTTCTGTAGTTCTTAGGACCATTTGCACTAACTCAAACTGTTAACCGCTCATTTATTTAGGGAACCATTTGCTTACTCGCATGCGGACCATTCCTTCGAGGCCGCCACTGCGCCGGCAAGTTCCACGGGAGTGAACGTTGCTCCGCATGGTCTAACAGTTACTCCCTCTATTCGCACAAGGCACTCTCGTTTTGAACCCAAACCCTCCTAGGTATAACTGTTGGTTGCAGAGACGAAATCCAACACTTAATTTATTTTGTTCCCTTTTCGCTCCTTTGGGACATATAGCGAAGAATGGCGCAGGTTTTGAAGTTCTGCAATCATTCGCTAATATTGGTGCTATGCATTTTTAACGCAAGCTATAACTAAAGTTAGAACTGTGTTTTTTACATACCTACAAGTTTGTACAGGCTCTCTACGCGTGACAGGGCCTCTGTCTGGTTTACGGTAACTTTGGTTACGTCTGCTAACTGGAGTAGAGTAAAACAGTGGTTTAGCAATTCTATGTGACTAGGGTATTAGTGTACGCTGTTTCCCTCTGTAGCTCTGTTTTCGTTTGAAACCAGTTCAACCTGGTTTAACGGCCCCTCCTGCAGTGCTTGGTCGCTTCTTTTCGCTCAAATGGCGCATTGGCACACGTTCACTTCAGCGCAAGCCGCAGCTTGGCTGAATTCAATGATCCAGGAGATATAGCTCAACGGCAGCCTGAAAACTTCAAGTCAAGGCAGATTTTTTTCTGTAACACGGTGGCAAAGGCAAGAAAATATAAACATGTTGTAGAGAAACTTATTGGGCACAGTAGCGTGTCAAGATCAAAGCTATGGCAGGCAATTTCACTGGGAAACCTTTGCGCCAAATCAAACTAAACATTGATTTTGGTCACAATAACTAGCAGATTAAGCTTGATGTGGGAGATATGGTGTAACATACTACAAGGTGAAGCCTTGCACAAAAAAGAAGAAAAAGGAATGACAGAAGACTGTGCTCGTCTCCTATAAGTTCTATAAGTTTGCTTTTTCGTTCTCATGTTTCATGCCTGACTTCTTCCCTACAATCCAACGTAATTGGGTTTGCAGAAGTGGCATTTCGACAAACTTTTATTGAAGCGGTATTTTCCTATGAGTTTTGAAGGTATTCGACACCTGTCAGTAAGTCATTGGCAAACAACCTGTGCTGTCACCCCACCCTTGGCCAACTAATTACTTCTCTTTCAAATGATCAAATGCGTAGGACTAGGAGAGAGTGGACGGCACCGTTTTTAGTTTCTCCTGTTTTTTCGACAAAAAACAAGAAATAAAACAGGTATGGCGAGGCGCATAGTCTTTTTTCGCTTAAGTAACTTCCACTCTAATTTGCAACTTTCAGCACGTAAATTATATAGTTAGATGGTATTCCTATACACTGTGAAAATAATGCCAGCCTTCATTTTTTTCATTACCTGAAGATATGTGACCGGCCAGGCGTCGCCCTAGGCAAAAACGTTGCTTTCGACATGAAGGCGCGTTCAGTCGTATACTTCGATGACAATCCCAACTCAAGGAGGACCTTCATTTTCGACAATAGTTTCAGCTTACAATATAAGGTAAGCAGAACTTCGTCTGTCAATTCTGCGTAGCGTAGTTTACGCGCATACGTTCGAATGTAAAAAAACAAATGAAAATAAGCGCACAAGATAACCTGCAATGACGGCACTTTTCCTTTCTACAGGCGTGACGTTTTTCATTTTTCGACATCTAGGTCGCAGTGTCCGCCAAAGTGGATCGAACATTATGAATCTTGGCTGTTAACTCGAAAGTCGCGGGTTCAATTCCGGCCGCGATGGTCGCATTTTGTTAAAAAAGAATTGATAGTGGCATTCAAACTGTGCGATGTTAGTAAACGTGAAACAACACCAGATAGTTACAATTTCCGGACCCCTCAACTGAAGCGCCTCTAACAATCGTATCGTAGTTTTGGACCTTCGTAAAACCCGCGATATTCTTATGAGGTAGAGACATGGTGTCCTATGATTGATTGATTGATTTGTGGGGTTTAACGTCCCAAAACCACCATATGATTATGAGAGACGCCGTAGTGGAGGGCTCCGGAAATTTTGACCACCTGGGGTTCTTTAACGTGCACCCAAATCTGTGCACACGGGCCTCGACATTTCCGCCTCCATCGGAAATGCAGCCGCCGCAGCCGGGATTTGAACCCGCGACCTGCGGGTCAGCAGCCGAGTACCTTAGCCACTAGACCACCGCGGCGGGGCGACATGGTGTCCTAACACATGCCACTATCCTCGGGTGCTGTTTTGTAAGTCATGAGCTCTACTTCAATGTAAGCTAGCCCAGCCATCTAATAGACACAGTCGGCCGATCCCTGTAACACAGTCGAACAGTATTTGTGCGAGCTGGTACAGCTGGAACAGAACCATAATATAGCACTTGAAGACAGCATTTCTAGAATGTAGTGGCTGTGCGATAATATTCAATACGAAGCGTTGCTGTGTGTACTGCAGGCACCTGGGCATCTATCTATCTATCTATCTATCTATCTATCTATCTATCTATCTATCTATCTATCTATCTATCTATATCTATCTATCTGTCTATCCGTCTATCTCTCTATCTATCCATCTATCTATCTATCAATCTATCTATCTATCTATCTATCTATCTATCTGCCTACGTCAGGGTGCTTCCATGAGCACCCTTTTAAGTTGGGCAAACCAAGATTATTATGGGAGAGTACGATGACTTGACAAAAATTACTCGTTGGTCATGACACGAATTCGGTCACTTCAGAAAAGCAAGCGGCGCCTGTAGCCCGGTTCTAAAGCTGTCACACGGCGATAACACTGCGACGCGTTTTGGTCTTTCAGTAGTCATAAACCAATGAACGCGTCTTCGCATTCTACGACGCTGACGTAAACGCTCGCGACATCACCATCTTGTCCACCATTTCTCCCTCCCGCTGCGCCTCCTATAGTCGCTGGCATGGACGAATAGGGACGACGCTCTGAGTTCCGAGTAGTGCGGACGGGAGAAGATCGGCTCCCACTTTAGAGAATGCTTTTCTGTGGAATCCACCAATTTGTCGTCGAGTTTTTGAAAACATTGTGCACCTAAGTTTTTAAAGAATCCGTGGATACCACTTTTTTGCTGGTAAGCAGACTTTTAAATAATTTTCAAGATATTTTTACATGGCAAACCTACCACAGCACTTCAGCCTAACCAAGGCAGTGATTGGCGCCAATGCGCCGGCCCTGCGTCAACGTGACCAAACGCTCTGCACGTTCAAGGAGTGGCCACTTAGGATAAAATACTGAGTAGACAGAGAGGACATCTATTCAGAGGATCGAACAGAAGACAAGGGTCGGAAGAAAGCCGAAATGATGCGCTCAAGAAATAAGCTAGCTGTGGTTAACGTTCACGCAGCCAAAGGCTCGACCAGGGCTGGCGTCAGGGGAGATGCTCGAGCTAGTCTTAGTAGACACGACTCCAAGCCCCAAATCGTGCAAGTGGCATGCTTACCTCCCCTACCCAAGGACTTCAGCGAAATTCTGCTATGACCTTGTGAAAAACTAGACATCTCGAGAATTAGCGCTGGAGCCATGGCATGTGTCATAGTACTGGCAATCAACCTAAAAAGGAGGAGGCAATGCAGGAGATTATCCGTTCCAACCTGCAGCGGAACTGTCGTGTAGCCGGCACGGCGACACGTGAAAGTAACCACGCTACACCACTGTACGATCCATGACAATCACCCAGTTTAATCAGCGAGTATCGTTTATATACACACGAGCGCAGTGGCGCCATCTATTGTGAGTCCAATGACTCAGAAGGCCATCTGGTGTAAACGCACAACCCAACATCTACCCCCTCCCTTGATAATAGAACACAGATTATGTGCATAGAAAAGAAACATTCACTACGCGTGACAGAAAACTATAGTAAGTCTCCACTGTAAACAAATCACTGCACATAGTCCCCGAGTCACTCTGGTGGTCTTCGCTCCCGTGTAGAGCGACGGAGGGGAACCGGCTCCTCTTCTGGCTGATGGACGACCTCTGGTTCGTCGGCACGATCAGCACCCAGTCCTGCGGTCGTGTTCCCCGGTGGTGGAGGCCGTGGTGGGCTTGGCGTATGAAGAGGCAGTGCTGACCCCCCCCCCCCCCCGCAGACTGTGCAGCTTCCTGTATTGGGATATTTTGGATTGTGTGGCTCTTTGCCTTCGAGGACGGTTTTCGTGCTGTGGCGTTCCCTGCCGACCCGTCTGTCTCCATGTCCACCCACAGCGGTTCTTGTCTTGCCCCCGTTTCTTCATGGGGTACAGCCGACAGTTGGGAGGCATTCCAGGTACGGCCGTCCTCCAAGTGGAATGACCATCGTCCTACCCGCCTCAGTATTTTGAGTGGAGCTCCAAAACTAGGGGTGCCTTTTATTCCAGGTACCGGGCGTTTCACCCGCACGTAGGCCCCCACTTTAAATTTGGGCTCTCGGGCTGCTCTTCGCTTGTCTGCATACGCCTTATTTCTTTGTTGGTATTCGCAGACACAACGCCGAAGTCTACGCAGTTCACGGGCGGGATGGGTGCCGAAATCCGCTGATGGCTGGCCAACAACATCTAATGATGTCTTCATGTGGCGGCCATGAAGCAACACTGCTGGAGAGATGCCAGTGGCGCTGTGGGGTGTGGCTCGGTAAATACCCAGGTACTCTATAACTGTGGTCTTGATTTGTCGCTCCTCTAGGAGAGCTAGTTGTATATACGATTTCAGGACCCTGTTGAATCTTTCCACTAAGCCATTGGCTTGAGGGTGGTAAACTGCCGAGAAGAAATGCTTGATGCCCCTGTCTGCAAGGAAGCACTCGAATTCACTCGACGTAAACTGTCGGCCGTGGTCTGAGACTAGTTCAGTCGGGTAACCCTCTCGCGCAAAGACAGCAAGCAGAAAGTTGATCACCGTGCGAGAAGTGATGTCACTGCAGAACGCACTCTCTGGCCATCTGGAGAAGTAGTCCACTGCCACGATGACAAATCGACAGTCGGCCGGTGCACGTTCAAAGGGGCCCATGATGTCTATTGATATTTTGTCCCAAGGCCTGTCAGGAAGCCGGACAGGCTGTAGTGGGGCTTGCCAGTTCTTGACACTCTTGTCCGAGGCTTGACAGGTGCTGCAACTCCGGACGGCGGCCTCCACATGCTTGTCAATGCAAGGCCACCAGTACTTCTCCTTGATACGCTGCTTAGTCTTCACAATTCCCGGGTGTGACTCATGAGCTGACTGGATGAATGTATCCCTTAGCTTGGCAGGCACTTAAACGCGTTCTGTGCGCAGAAGCAACCCATCTACTACCGAGAGCTCGTCTCGTATTTCGTAGTACGGAGTCAGTTCTGCGGCAAGTCTTTTCCTTGTTGGCCATGATGACTGGATAAATTGCATTACCTGCCGTAGTATGTCATCTTCCGCGGTAGCAACCTGAAGATTCTCCCGATGTACAGACGATGTAACCAAGGACACAACCTCTTCATCAACATGGAAGCCCCCTTCTGTGTCTGGCACGGGCAGTCTAGACAAGGCATCTGCTACCTGGTTGTGGGCTCCGCTGCGGTACTGTATTTTGAAGTTGTAGCGCTGCAGTCATGCGGTTCACCTTGCAATACGAAGTGGCCGCTGTCCTGTGCTACGGGATCAGAGCAGTGCCACCAAAGCCTGGTGATCCGTCAGTAGAGTAAATGATCTGCCCCAGAGGCAAACGTGCCACTTCTCCCAGGCCCACAGACAGGCAAGGGCCTCGCGCTCTCCAGCCAAGTATTTTCGTTCTGTCTCTGTTAATGTCCGCGATGCAAATGCCACAGTACGCACATGGGACCCCTCCATTTGCTGCAGTACAGCACCGAGACCGTACGCAGAGGCATCTGTTGCGACAATGACAGGTAACGTCGGGTCAAACATTCAGAGGACCTTGTGGGATGCTAGAAGTCTTTTTACTCCCGCGAAGCTCTCTTTCGCAGCGTCATCCCAGTCGAAGTGCACGTCTTTGCAAAGTAGGTGACGCATTGGCTCTACTTGCTCTGCCAGTCGCGGCACGAATTTGGAATAGTATTCAACTAGCCCCAAAAAGGAGCGTAGCGTGGCTGCATCTATAGGCACAGGAGCATTGATGATTGCATCAATCTTGGTCTGGAGCGGTGCTATACCTTCTGCGCTGACGCGATGTCCTAAGAACGACAGCTCCGACGTGTTGAAGATGCATTTTTTGTTGAGCTTGAGCCCAGCTTCTGCTATTCGTTCTAGCACTTGCTCCAGGTTTTGCCTGTGTTCGCTCTCTGTCTTGCCAAAAATGATTATGTCATCCAAGTAGCATAAGACCCCTTTGCAACTTCCAAGAATTTTCGTCATAATCTGCTGAAACGCAGCTGGTGCCGATTCCAACCCGAAGCAGACCCTCTTGAATCTAAAGAGGCCATCGTGAGTTATAAATGAAGTTAGGTCCCTGCTGTCTGGGTGCAGCACAACCTGGTAGTAGGCTGATGTCAGGTCCACCTTGGAAAAGCAGCGGGCTCCATTGAGGGCATGAAGCTGCTCCTCCATATGAGGCAAAGGGAAGTTGTCTGCTACTATAGCTTTGTTGGGTTCCCGGAGATCTACACACAGTCGAATGCTACCATCTGCTTTGCGGGCTGCTACAATAGGAAATACCCACTCGGAAGCATTGACTCTCTCAATGACATCAGCAGCAAGTAGCTTCTCAATCTCGTCAAAGACCGGCTGGCGGACTGAAAATGGTAGGGGTCTCAGCTTTGTGCGACTGGCGCGATGGAAGTTATCACCTTAACTTTGTGTTGCACCCCTCTTACAAGTCTCAGGCCAGGCAAAAACAAGTGGCCAAACTTGGTCCACAGTGTTGGCGGCATTCCAAACTTGGGAGGCCCAAGGGGTTTTTCATGCCTGGGGCTTTGGGGAAGGCCTGAACCCATTGCTGGAAGCTCCCGGCATTCCTGCGTGAACATTTGCAGGCAGCGCAATTCCTCTCCCATGATGCGAAGGCCAAGGGCTTGAACAGCATCCAGGCCAAGGAGAGATGTACCACATGGTGTAACATGAAAAGTTACAATGGCTTCGTTCCCCTTGTATGTGACTATGGCGTGAAATGACCCGAGAACGGGAATCTTCCTGCGCGAAAAATCCAGCAATGTAAGATGGGAACTTGTCAGTTGTACTGCGTTTGCGAACAAGCCTTGGAATTGGTGCTCACCCATAATAGAGACGGCCGAGCCTGTGTCCACCAAAAAGTTCATGGTATGCACCCGTGTCGACGCGGTAACTGACGCGACATTGACATCCACGTAGACGCCTGTGCTCTTATCAGTACGGACCGCCAAGATGCTAATGACACTGGTAGCATCCTCTTTCGGAACGATTTCCTGGATCTCTGCAGAATACCCTTCTCGGCCGCGATTGTAGCTGCGACATGCTCTCTTAAAATGGCCGCGGCGTCCGCAGGCAAAACATGTGCGACCGCCCGCGAGACATTCCGTAGGCGAACACCGTGCTGCGCCGCAGTTTCGGCAGGCATTTACATTTCTAGGCCCGGGGACAGCAGCGGCGGCGGCATTCATATCAGGTGAAGGTGCGCTGTACGCGCGTGAGCAGCTGAAGTGGCGATGGCCCGGGAAGCGTGTGCCATTATCGCCGTTATCTCGTCGATTGTGCCTGGCTGAGCTGTCTCGCAACTGCTGCTGAATGCGCTGCACAGGATTGGCGGAGGCTTCGGATTCACGCTGGGTTTGCTCACGAAGCCGTGCTACCTCGACAGCATGATCGAACGTAAGGTTATCGCCCTCCAGCAGCAATCGCTCTCGTAGCCGCGGGCACGTGACGCCTGCTACGAACTGTTCACACAGGTTTTCGTCCGCTTGAGTGGCGAAATTTCAAAGAGCTGCTAACTCCCGAAGCGCTACGGCTAAATCAGTGATGGGCTCACCCTGCAGCTGACGACGCTCCCGGAATCGATGGCGTTGAAGGCGAACGTTGCAAGGAGTGGCGAAATGCTTCGAAAGCATCTCAACGGCTACGTCGTATTCGTCGGGTGGGCGTAGGGCTTCCGTGGTCATGTCTTGCGTTCCAGTAGGTGCAGTGGTTCCGATGATTCCAGCGGCGGCATCTGGTGTGGCCGTGACACCGGGTGCAGCACTCGTTCTCTCTGCCTTGGTTTGCGTCGTACTAGGTGGAAGCGCGTCGAAAATGCGCTGTCCTTCCGTCCCAAGACAGTGCAGCAGGAGGGCTCGGCGACGGGGTGCGGATAGCTCGCTCGCTCCGGACGCCAGCAGAAACCTTTCGAACAGTCGTAACAGTCGTGCCCATGGCACATCGGGGCGGTGGCCAGAAAAGGAGGAGGTGGCAAAATGCCCGTGGAAGCCATCCTCGTCGCCAGAATGTCGTGTAGCCGGCACGGCGACACGTGAAAGTAACCACGCTACACCACTGTACGATCCACGACAATAACCCAGTTTAATCAGCGAGTATCGTTTATATACACACGAGCGCAGTGCCGCCATCTATTGTGAGTCCAATGACTCAGAAGGCAATCTGGTGTAAACGCACAACACTACAGGAACATTATGGTGCTAAGCACTCCACACCAAGACAGAAATTCAAGATACCTCAAGGTTAAGAAAATTGACATTAGAAGCAAACTTTTGGAGGCTAGCGCATGTGCCACGGCAGCCCACGGCACTTGTAAAGGATTGATTTGTGGGATGCCCGAGAGCAATAATCGGGACGTTCCGACCCCAAAGATTGTGAATTGGAACATGGGCGCTGCAGGCCAAGAGAATCAAGAACAATGGGATAATGATCATAGTGTCCGAAAGAAACAAACTGCCGAGGTTTGTGAGATATGGTCCTTCACTTTTGCAGTGCTCCCTTTACCGCGAACACACCGGCATTTCTTACGTCTGTGTAAACCTGGTGCATCCGTTGGACGTCTTTGCGAACCTAGCTGAAATAATCTCCAGAGGTTGCGATATGAAGAACCTAGATAAGCTGTACCAGTGAAATCCACTATTCAGGCTGCGTGAAGGTCACTACTATACGGCAGGTAGGGAGTGCAAGAACATGTTCTTAGTGTCATATTTCGTCAAACGCAAACGTTGGGAAAGATCCCGAGCACCAGCGGATGTGCATGGCAGATCAATGACATCGAGTCTAGACTGCAACTACGACCTGCTGTTCTCAGCCATCGGGACCCAAAGCATCCAGCCCACACAAAAATAGGATGAGTGGCCTACTTCAGGGGTAGCTCGCGTTCCAAAAGAGGTTTTAGGCCGAAGGCCCGCTCTCAATCATGGGGGCACTCGAGCTTTCAAGGCCAGTCTATGGGTCAGGAGCAACTTGAACGGCATCTAATAGCCAGCTGCATGGCATTCAGTTCAAGATCACGGCTTTTAACTAGGGGAGGACGCCTGCAGTTGCGCTGAACGAGTGCGCAATGGCGGGGCAGAGGAGATTAGAGGTAAGCTGCCAGAGCGAGATAGAAGTGTACAGATAAAGCAAGAAAATGCGAGGCTTACAAAATTGAATGAGAGGGTATCGGCAGAGTTAAAATAAATGAAATATCTTCTCATTGAGATAACCAGCACTCAGTCTTCACAGCCAATGCCTCAGCCACTCTACGTCGCTGTAGCTGAAAACGTGGGGGACTCGAGAGCAACGCAGTCTTCACAGGCGCCACTACAGCCAGTTGACGTCCTTTTAGCTGAAAAGGTGGGAGATTCGAGAGTCACAAAAAGAAGGCACTAACGGTAAAACAGGTGAAAGCCAATGAAATGATCATGTCAGATACGAAAGAGGTCTTTGACACACTCGGCAAGGTAGTAGCCAATCTTAGTGAGCACATGGGCAGGGTACATTTAAGCGTGGCGGTACTAGAAGAGTATATGACATTGCGCATAAGAAAAGTAAGCGCAGCTGCACAACACAGCAATTCTTCCTCATGTATCAAACTCACCTATCCGACTACCAACATTAGTGATACCAAGTATGTCGACAGGTGTAGCATGAGGCTCAGAGGGCTATGTAATAATGGTGATGACAGCGCTAAGTTAAGCGTTGTGTATCTGCCAATAAAAATGTAGACGTTTCCCTGAAAAGAAGGCAAATCCACAGCAGTACATTGAGACTAGCTAAAAAGTCCCATGTCACATTTTTGCAAGAAACCTGTGCCTACATATGTGCCTTCATATGCAACAAACTGGCGCACGTAACCCAGAACCTCAAGATAGAAGCAGGCAGATTAGAACACGTCATGGCAGACATCGGGCCGGGTACCAGCGATCGTTATTGCATCGTTATGTTTAAGACGTATAGCAGTGCAAAAGAACAAAGCAAAGGTTCAAGACGGTTATAAAGAAAGGTGTTACTACCGCCGGAAAATGTCCACTCACCATAGCAGGTGCCTTCAACGCTCCTCATCAAACGTGGGGCTATAGGCACAACAATGGCAAAGAAAATCAACTTTCGCAAAGCGCCAGGGAGCTTGATACCACCCTAATCACGGATCCCGGCCTACCAATGAGACTTGGTACATCCTCCTGCAGGGACTCCTTTTCAGATCCTAAGGAACGTCAAAAAGGCCCAGTCAATAGCTGGGCCTTGCTGTAGAGATCGCGAGTGACCGCTGCATTCTACCCACTTCCTTCTCTGTAGAGTGTGTGAAGCACAGAAAATTCTACTTCTCAGAATAGGATAGGTTCAGGAAGTTGAGGACGGAAAGCGAACAAGACGGCCACAGACGAGGCTTGCAACAGTGGGTCAAACAGAATAAAGATATCAAATCTGTCTTCTCAACCATAGCCACACACGATCCGGTAGAAAGAACTGATAGCCTGGTTGCCCATGTCTTCGAGGCAAAGCAAGCACCATTTAACCGTTAGAAGCGTGATCACCTGAACCGAAGAGTGAGCAAGATAGCTGAGGTAAACAGATCAGTCAAAGAACATTGTCGCGCGCTTTCTAGGCAGCAATGGGACCAAATATGCATCTCAGACGACAGTCAGACGCGCCATGGCATGCCATTGAATATGTTAAAACATCTCCGCAACAAAAACACCAGTAAAACAAAGGCATTTTATCGTTCGAACTTTGCATAAAGAAATACGGCTCGCTATGAAACAGCAAATCGTGCAGCGGCTCGTTCATAAGTACCAACCAATCAAAACAGGATTGGCACCACCAAGTGAACAGTACGAAACCACGCCCAATCAAGGTAATGAAGGCGACTTTAACATCGAGGAGATCGAAAAGCATTGCACAATCTCAAAGGTAGATCGGCATCCTACCTAGCCGGTATATCAAACAAGGCCCTTTGTAACCTTGACAACAGTTCAATTGATATTTTGAAGATTATGATCAATGCAGCATGGAGAGAAGGCAGACGCGCAACGGCAAAACGTTGAATATGCTAAAATATCTAACGAAAATACCACCAAAACAAATCTGAGGCATGCTATCGCTTAAATTTTACATAAACAGCTAGGGCTTTCGACGGAAGAGCAAGTCGTGCAGCGGCTCGTTCGTAAGTACCTCCAAATCAAAACAGGATTGGCACCATCAAATAGAATGTATCAGGGCCCGCCCAATCCAGGTCTCGAAGGTGACTTCAACATCAAGGAGATCCGAAGAGCTTTGCATATTCTCAACGGTAAATTGGCCCCCGGCATTGGCGGTATACCAAACAAAGCCCTTCGTAACCTTGGTGACAATGGGATTGAGACCCTGAAAGACATCATCAACGCAGTATGCAGAGAAGGCCGGGTGCCAGAGCAGTGGAAGCTGGCAAACAAGACCTCTTTCCTAAGCGAGGGAAGGCCCCTAACCTAAACAACATCAGGCCAATATCCTTCACACCATGAATCGGCAAGGTTACAGAACGCGCCATACTGCACAGCAAAAATAAACACCTGGCAGATAACGACATCTATACACAAACAATATGGTTGTATTCAGGCCAGGGCTATCCACACAAAACACAGTGAAG